GGCGTTCTGCTCCCTCTGACATGACTTGTGATATGCAACTCGGGCCTTCTCCAGCTGTGGAAAACACATTCACACACATGCATATTATAACCTTGAATGGAGAAGTTTTAAATTTGGGGACATTTGCATATTCGTGAATTTTTTTATCCGAGTACATTTTTGGCCTGGAGGTATTTAGCTTAGCTTAGCTTAGCATAAAGACAGGGGGAAACCTCTAGCTTGGCTCTGAGCATACAAGTAACAAGTAATATCATATTGGTTGGATTTGTGCAAAAAAAGATATGGAGTCGGGCCTGTAACTAAAACTTAAAACATGTCTCTATAACACTTCAACATTTAGTTGATACACTGGATACATTTTTGCACAGCGTTGTATTTTGTATTCAAAGAGTCAACATTATCTTCTCAAAGTTAAACCTTTTGGTCAATTTACTTTGTTTTAATTGAATGCTAGAAAGTATTTTATTGTGGCTAGTTTTAGCTCCTCAATAGCTTTTTAATTGTACATACATTTTCATTCCAGTTAGTGTTTTAACTTGTTATAGCAAAATGTATGCTTAACTTAAAGAACATTTGATTGTGTGGGGAATAATTTAATTCATTTGTGCGACTATCCGACAAGAGTGAATAAACTACACGTTTTTAAATGTTGCACTATTCTTTTAAACCATATACTGAAAAACCATTTTCCCGTGCATGAAAAAATAATATCACTACTTAAAGGTCTACTTATAACTTTTTAATTCTGAGCTTTAGCAGATGGAGTTGCCAAATAAAAGAGACCGTGAGATAAAGCTAAATGCTAACATTATAGCAGAGTGGGTTGTGGATTGTGTGTAAAACTATCACTGCCAATTATAACCACAATTTCAAGCCTTTGTAAAAACACACACACACACACACACACACACACACACACACACACACACACACACACACACACACACACACACACACACACACACACACACACACACACACACACACACACACACACACACACACACACACACACACACACACACACACACACCTTCATCATCTTTTTGGACCAGGGTTTCTGCGCACGTGAAAAGCTTGTCTTGTTGCTGTGGCTCTCACTGAACCCACAGAAGAGTTTCTTTGGGAAGGTCTCTTTCTGCCAGGTTTTCACCCGGTCCCCTTCCTCTGCTGTGAGCGACTGAGAGATGGAGGAGTGGAGCGCTGACAGGCGCTCGGTGGAGGTGAAGAAACACTGCCACGCCCTCATGAGGGAGCCATAAAGCGGCCCTGGGGAGGAAAGCAAAAAAAGACAGAGGAATGAAAAAACGCAGAGCACAGAGGTGAGTCATGGAACCAAAAGAGAAATAATGACCTCCATTTGTTTCAAACGAGCACACATGCAGCCATTTAGTATGAATCAAGAGGTCATGTTAACTTGACGACAGCTACATGAGAAAGGCCTGTTCTCTGTTTAAAGGATCCCCAACATGCTGCTTCTCATACTCACGAGAATCCACTATAGTTTTCCACTTGTTGCTCCACTGGTTCAGCTGCTGGGCGTACTGCTTTTCTACTTTAGCTCTCTCATTGAAGCAGGCCACGATGTCGTTGCAGGCCTGGAAGGACTTCTCAGTTCGATGCACTGTACGCACATAGTTCCCTGGCTGTGAGGAGGGAAAGATGTTAAGAAAAACCAGCAGAACGCAAGTTGTGCCACACTGTTTTGGATGAACTAGCTTTTCCTTTTGGTGGTAGTTGTCTTGGATGTAATCATCAATATATCCTCACCATCCAGAAGCTCTGTCTCTTGGCATCTTGGGTCGGCTCTTTGGGAAGGCTCGCCATTATTGTCTGTCTCTGAAAGCAAAGGTTGGCTGGTTATGTTGAACAAGAGAGTTGCTCGACTGGTTAAAATGCAAAACGAGGGAATGAATGAGCGCTTTTATTGGCAGAGGAGTCACATTAAAAACCATGCAACAGGTTGAACGTCTACACACGGTGTAATGGGCAGATACAGCATGGTTCCTCATAAACAAAGCCGTTCCCTCTGAATGACGAGTAATTGGCGGCTGCAACCGTGTGTATTTCTGAGCTTATTGCCATAACAACTTGGCATAGGTGTTATTTACGCTGTACAGGGCGTAGATACATCCAAGGAGCCCCCTGTGTGAGTAAGGGGAGTGTCATGCAGTGGCAGACTGGAATTCACAGGGTGCGATCTACCAGTAGGAATAGAGCAGCTGCTCCAGCATTCTTCCTGCTGCCTTCCCAAAATAAACAGCAGGGAAAGGTCATCTTTCCCATTGCTCTGACTAATACAAGGCCTATTAGAAACCAACTGTCTCCCACTCTCGGAGTGCTCCCCCTGCCATTCGATTCATGACACATGATCATGTGTGCCTTACGGGAATGCAGGAGAATAACTGTCCAGATAGCAGGCATGTTTGCACAGTGTGTAAAGCAAATTACATTAAAAGGAGATTGAACAAAAGAAAGAGATTCATGCACAAACACGCAAAGGACGGAGTTGCATTCCGGCCTATTTCTGTCTTGGTAACGCTTTGACACATTGCTGGCTGAGCAATATGAAAGTGACTAACCACACCTCATCACAAGACTGAGCATGACAGCGAGTCAGGCTCATCTACGACTCTTTCCCTCAGCTTGCTGTTGCTAATGCGTATATGTTCTTGCTATTTTAACAGTTGCAAGTGGAAATATAGCAGGGAGTCACTGAACACTTTTTTTCTCAGAGAAGATGTTTGAAATTCACAGCACATCTTCATATTTGATCACACAGAATCATTCATATCAAAGTATTAAGGAAAAGCCTCAGTGCACATGTCACAAAGAATCAAGAAGTGGCAACAGAGCAGTCATGCCTCGGAGAACTTACATTTCTCTCTGGATCACCAGTGATTACTCAAGTGACCACTTGTTACTGTAGTTCTGCTGAGGATTGTCTCTCCATTTCTCTGTCCGTCTCCCCCTCTCCCAGGCTGCCTCTCCTCCTCTAACACATGCTTCTCTCTCCCCTTTCACTGACCCAATTCTCCCCTGGCCCTTAAAGTTACACACACACACACACACATTGTTGATCTGAAAGTGGGCGTGAGACACAGAGGCGAAGCAAGCAAGCAGAAAAAAGAAATTAAACAAATCAGAGCATTTGCATGATAGTCACTAATTGGCTTCAGGGCAAAGAAAGAGGGAGGAAGACACTTACCTTTCCTGCTCTCCTCCCCCGTATGTATGCTGGGAGATTCTAGCTTACAGTCATACACTTTTCTGTCCTCTTTCTCCTACTTTAACCCCATCCTTCTGGCTTTACTCCCTATCAGCTCTTTTGACTGTCACCCTCTCACTTTCGCTCCACTCTGTTGCTACAAAAACAGCTGGAAAAATCCCCCTCCTTCCCCCCTCTCTCTCCATGCCCGTCCCTCCCTCTGGCTCTCTCGATATGGTGCTAATGAGACCTTCATTTTGACCGTTCGCTGTCACAGAAACGTGTCAGGATGGCACAAAGTCATGTGAGCTTATTAGTGAGAGTGTGTGACAGCGGTGGGGAGGGGGGGGGGGATGTCCTGTGAACTGTGACCCTTTGTGACCTTCCTCTCTGTAGTCAGGCCTATAGAAAGAAGACATGTCAAAGTGTTTAGAGCATGTTCACACACACACTGTTTACTTTTTGTTGGGTTTTACTTTTCCCGGATATCAGTCAGAAGTGAAAACAGAACACCAGAGTTATGCCGTCAGTCTGGTTTCTGTTTCCCAGCTTTTTCTTTAGATAAAGGCTGTGTACAATCAGACTTTTTAAACAGCCACTAACTCATAACAGCTTACACAAAACCAGAGAATTCCAAGACCATTTACCGCCTACCATACGGTTGTTTTCTCCTGTTTCTCACTGGTCGCAGGTTTAATATTGGGTATGTGTTCGTCTAGGCTCCATGGAATAGGCTGCCTTTACATGTAAGAAAAAACAAGTGACAAACGCCACATTTGAAACTTGTAGTGTAACTTTATCATTGCACTTTTTTGGGAATATTTTTGCATTTAGCATTTATTTATCCGGTTTGTTCTTATTATGATGTTGCAGAATCTGTTCTATTGCATCAAACACACAATGGACATCAGCTTGGCCTCCATTACTGTTTGTAGTTACATTGTGTATTATTTAAAGAGGTCCTATTATGCTTTTGTGGGGTTTTCCTTTCCTGTACTGTCTCATGGTTTTGTGTAAATGGTCTGAAACGCTTCCATTTGACTCCTTTTTTTACTTCCTTATCATAGTGACGTCACTATATAACGAACGTGCATCTATTGGCTAAAGCTCCAACACATATAGGTTAAAGGCTAAGGGGCGGGACAACTCTAAGCGTTTGACCAATCACAACAGAGCCGGCCAACTAACCAATCAGAGCAGACTGGGCTCTGGTTTCAGACAGAGGGTGAAAAGAGGTACTGCAGCACAGGTATGAGAAAAATAAAGGGCTTTCTGAACATTAAAGCATGGTAATATATCACTAGAGGCACAAAATACTGATATGAAACCTGAAAATGATATAATATGTCCTCTACAACGAAAAAAATCACACTATTGTAATCTTTCCATCAGTTGGCACACACTTTAAATAACAGCATTTTGCAATTTGTTTTCCATGAACCTCACTGTGGCCACCATGCTAGCGAACAATTCCACATTCATCTCCTTCCAAGTTGTTTTCCCATTGTTTCTCATGCCTTACAGCCGTGTTTGCATGAATGCAGCCAGTGCTTGCTTTGAATTAAGCCATCATATCTTCTCCCTTCCCGTGAGCGCCACTCTTTTGTCCTATTAGCTCACCGCGCCTGATGGGAATATAATCCTGGACCCGAAAACAATGTTGTGTTCAAGCACCGCAGGGCTGAGACGAGCCGCTGCCAAATGACTCAATTCAAACACGGTACTTCAAATTGGATCATTATGTGGAAATGCGAGGAGAAACGAGAATGACAACAGTTTATTTTAGCATTTATTTCAACACCTTAGTTGTACCTCTATCATATTGTTTATCAGTATATACTTTATTCAATTTAAAGCAAAACTTTATATATATTTTTATATTTATATATATATACCTTTTTATCTCTGCATACTTATGCTCATACTGTATGTAGTCATTATGCATTTCACTAGACCTAAAATACTCTTTTAAATCATAGGACGTAATGCTTTCTACTGCTCAGTCCTTTCACAAATGTCCTTCATGAGATCGCGTTTGAGTCACAATTTTCAAACTCACACAGAGAGAAAACGCTAATGTGTGTCGGCTTCACTGGGGTCACCACGGGGCGAGCAGTATAGAAAGCATTCACAGAAATCCCAAAAATAAAACATAAATAAAACTCCAAAGAATTTGTCCACACTATTTGGAAGACGGAGATTCTTAAAAATGTTTACATACTAAATATTATCTTTATTATACTATATTTTTATGTTATCATTGTCATCATCATTACATATAGATCTATAAATAATGTGTTTTTTTTGCCTTACAGTTTAATTCACTGCAGGGAAAATGGCTAAACATGGCATGTTTAAAAAACCCAGGGCGTTCCCCTCTATGCAACAGATACAGTTATCACTCAGTGTTTCTAATTGAGTTAATGATAAGTGGAACAGGGGCAACATTGGGATTGTCAACTAGTGAGGAAAAAAACAGTTTTCCGACCGTTATAAATATGTCTTGGAAAAAGGCATTTATAAAGAGAGAGGTGCAGGTTAAGGGAAAGCATTTGGCCACCAAGCTGACAAACACTCGCACAAAATCAGACACAGTCTCACGGATGGTGAGGGTTGGGGGGGGTGAGGCAGACAGAGAAGCAGTAAAAAGCCCTTTTTGATCACTGCACCTGCTGAGTGAGAGAGCGCGGTCAACATTATGGCATCAAAGAGGAGGAGTCCACCCTTTGACCTCTGCTATGGCCATAGACACCAGTAAAGATTGAGAAAAGACGATTTGCAGTTTGACATGCAACCACTTTTCAATTGCTCTCACATGTTTCATCCTCTAAAAGGTTACTTCACAACAATGTCTTCTCAATACCATTATGCACAACTTCAAATCAACAGTTTTAAATACCCTGACCAGTTTGAAATGAATGATTGTGATCGGCACTTCGTACAAAACATATGTTTCTAGTAATAGTTAATCCCGTTGAACAAGTAAGATATATTAAGTGCTCGCAAAGTACATACATACAAAGCATATTGGGGCATCCTTTGGGGGAATATGGCAAATATATATAAAAAGAATACTTTAATTGTCTACCATTTTTTTCTATCATCATTTACAAACATAAATCTGATTTTCTGACTTTGGCTCCTGAACTCACAGCCATTTGATTCTCTGATGAGGAAGTGACTGCTTTTCCCAGGGTTTCTGGCTCAGCCACAAGAAATAACATTGACTCGGGGTTTACCCTTTAAGCAGCAACTTTTCAACTTTCCTTTGAACACAGACAGAAGTTTTGCCGAGCAGCAGATGGTGTGAGAATCCATCTGTCAGTGTGTTTGTCTTTCACAGCACATAATGGTGTGTTAATTAAATGCCTTTCCTTTAAAAATATATTTTCAGTTGAAGAGTTTTCATACGATTTTCCTCACATACCCGTTCTTGACCAAAAGTAATTCCACAGATTTCAACAGTATTCTCTAAATGTGTTTCAACTTTGCAAGAAAACTCTCCCCCCTCCCCCCCACATCCAGCCCTTAGACATAGTCCAACAACACCTGTTGATGTCCGCTGTTCTTCTCTCGCACATCCTCTGTTATTGTCCACCTTTGTCAATTTGTGTCTCTCCCTTTTATTTCATCTTTGATTCACCCCTTCACACTCTCAGTATGTGTCTCTGGGGACATGCAAAGGAGAGGAGAGCCGTCTGGGGAGAGAAGGAGGGCAAATCAAAGGATAAGAACAGGCGGAATTGAAATAAAGATTGGGCAAACTAAATAGGGTTGATAAAACAGGTAAGTAAAGAGAGAGGGGGGAGGGGATAAGATAACTTCTAAGTATCTAAAGTAGAAAGGGGATGGCACAGCTAACGCTAAGCTATGAGACACTTTGACTTTCCTTCACCATGGGGCGCTTCCTTCTTTGATTCCGTTGACTCTACGTATTCCAGAGTCTGTTAGTCCTCCCTCACCTGTCAGTGAGTTTCTTCAGCGCCCTTTCGATGTTCATTCGGTGTCCCACGCGCGTCACACCCAGGTCCAAGAAGTCGTCCTTGGTGAGCGAAGGCAGATGCGATCCATCTATCTCATTGTCTATAAAACGCTCCTGGTGTTCGGTCAGGTTCAGGTAAGCCAGCCAGTCGGCCACGTCGTACTTGGTCCAGTAGGGCAGGGGCTTGACCGCGAAGGGTTTGGCTGGGGGAGGAGGGGTGAGATTGGGATAGCTGAGGCAGGATGGGCTGGGGGGCAAGTGCAAGGGGGAGGAGGCTCCGGAGAGAAAATGGGTGGGGGAGAGAGAGCGGGAGGTGAGGAGGGGGTTTGAGTGCGGCACACCGGATGGGGAGTAAAGTGGAGAAGAAGAAATGGCGTAGGGATCTCCTAGAGGCGAAGGAGGGGTGAGGGGTCCGGGGAAATCAAAGGGGTTACTGTAGATAGGTGTAGTTGGGAGGATGGGGAGGGAGGAGGGTCGGGGAGGGGCGGGCATTGGCTGCTCACTGTTATAGATGAGAGGGCTGGGGGCCCGTCGTCGTGACACTGAAGACCGCATCTCCTTCGTGGGGCTACACTGGAAATCAAAAGTCTGCCGGCGCATCTTGGAGCGATGCTTCGGTGACGTCGGGTACGGGCAGAAGGTCGGGGAATGGGGGGAGTGAGAGTGAACCGGCGAGGTGGGAATCTGCGGAGAGGGGGAGCGGGTCCAGTTGCGCTGAACTTGAGGGGAAGGGGAGACGGACGGCGTGGTGGACAGATTCGGGGTCAGGATCTGACGCTGATGCTGCGGAGAGGAGGTGGGTAATGGAGAGATGGAGCGGCCAGAGGGTGGGCTGTGAAACGCATCGGTGTAATCCGCCGAATACCTGAGAGACAAAAACAGACACGTTAAATAAGCATTAAATCATTTTTCTTTTTTAATGTAATGGTTTTTGCAACATTTTTAAATACACAAACATATCAGATAACAAATGATAAACAGAAGAGGAAAAAAACACCAAAAAAACCAATTTTATCAAAATTGTATACAAAACACAAGACCATGATATAAAAAAATTGCTTAATTCAAATGATTTTGACCACAGTATTTTTTAATAATGAAAATAGTTGATGAAAACACACCTGTTCATGGAGGGAGACTTGGGGGAGTGGCTCCAGTCGTCCATGCTCTTCATGCCGCCCATCTGCTGCAGCTTGGAGCTCAGCTCGTTCATGATGTTCGCCTTCACCCCCGAAAGAGGCGAGTGAAGTCTGCGTCCCTCCGAAGAGATACCCCCTTTATGCACCATGTCTCCACCCTGCTCCCCAACCTCCACCCAGCCCAGAGACCGAGCCTCCACCGGCCTCTCCAAGCAGGCGGCAAGAGCGGAGTTGAAGCCGTCCTCCATCTTGGATCGACCCACCATGTGTTGCCTTTCGTCGGAAAGCGCTTCCTCTAACCGGATTTCTTCGGGGTGGCTCTGTCTCTGCAGCTGCAGGGGGGCCGGGTTGGTGCTGTTCTGCCTGCGTAGCGCTACAGCCGGGCCTCTGCCTCCTCCGTCCTTGTAGTGACTCATCTTTGGAAACACAGGGTTTGCCATTTTGGCGCTGTGTACCTCAAATGTTTGCCCGCCTGAGTAGGTTGTGCAAGGATCCTGATGCTCCCCCCCTCCTCCTCTCTCCCCCTCCCCTCCTCTCAGCCCGCTCAATCCCAGCATCTCCAAGTGATGGTCGCTGCTGCTGTGACTGTCCAGCTCCTCGATCCCAGAATCCACCACGCTGTCCTGCCAGTCTCCAGCTGGGTGATGATGGGTGTGGTCGGAGGTTTTTCCCACTGTGGGCATACCGGAGGATGCTGGCGAGGTGGTGGTGGCTGCGGCGGCGGTGGCTGTCATGGTGGTGGTAGCGTAGGTCATGGTGGATGTGAGGACGGACGAGCCTCTGTCCTGGCCTCCCACAGAGGGGTCGTAGTAGGGGTGAGAATGAGACATGGGCTGGGGTCTGTGCAGCGACGCGGCAGAGAGAGCTGCAGCAGAAGAGGTGGTGGTTGTTGTTGACGGAGGAGAAAATATCTGTGTGGAGGGGTAAGAGGGAGAGGGGGCCGACTGTGTGAGGTTGGCCACCTCGCTGTCGTAGGAGGTGAGGCTGGAGGCAGCGGAGTCACCGGCCTGAGGAGTGTTTGATTGCTTGTTAGACGGGAGAGGGGGAGGAAGAGGTGGAGCAGCAGCAGAGTATTGACTCTGATGCTGCTGAGGATACTCCTGCCCTCTCTCCTTCTTACCATTAGCAAACTGTATGGGCGGAGGCAAAGGATCTGCAAAGACAAACTCGTCATCTACGTCTATTGAAGGAGCAGGCGGAGGGAGCACCATCAGTCCTAAACCTCCACTTGTTCCTGCTCTTGCTTCTCCCTCATGTGTCTGTGATGGGGCTGTGGGGACAGTGTACTGAGGAACGTAGCTGCTGTTAGCCTCCATCTGCAGGAATGAAGGTCTGCGGGGGGCCGGTTGAACCGGAGGTGGAGGAGGCTGCATGGGCGGAGCAGGTCTGCTGTCATACATCTCCTTTTCTCTTTCCCGGGGGCTCTGTTGGTAATACTGCGTTGAATACTGACTGGTCCTGTCCTCTGAGAAGCGAACTCTAAGACCCTCCCTGGATCCTCCTTCCTTTTCCCGCTCCATCCTCTCCCCGCCTCCCCCTCCCAAACGTAATATCCTCGGCGACTGCGGCCGGCTTATAGGTGCGGGCGAGGCGGTGGCGGTGGGGGAGGTGAGGTGGACGGACACTGGGGAGGTGTAGGACGATTGTGTAGGAGTCGCAAAAAGGGAAGGAGTCGGGGTCTGGACGGGGGTGGGGAACGCTCCCACTGTGGACATCTGCCGGCCGAATTGTCTGTCCTCTCTGCGCGTCCTGCGATCGTCCTTCAGGGCCCTTTCTCTCGCAGCCAGGGCCAGACCGAGTGGGGACGAGGGGTCCAGAACTTTCCCTGTAAGCGGGTGGATGAAGGTAGTCGTGGCCTGGCTGCCGTACATTGAGGGCGCCGACTTGGGCTGGCCGTCCTGATTAGGGACAGGGGACGAATACTCCGGCAGGCCAAAAGCTGGGGGCATGCTGCTGGAATAGTGGACGTAGTTGTCTCCGGAAAACATGCCCTCATCTATAGACTTGGAGGGCCGTAAGCGAGGGGTGGGCACGTCCATTTGTGAGCCTTGTAAAGGCTGAATTCTCGTTCCCTCCCCCGCTCCTCCCCCTGCCACTCCCTGGACGTCGTCCTCAGACGAGAGGAAGAAAGAAGCGCTCTTTCTTCTCATGTCTCGGAAACGTTCCCTTTCCCTGCGAGCCCCGCCTCCTCCGATGGCCGTCCCGTATGTGGAGGTGTAATCCAAGTCCTCCAAGTTTTGATGAGAGGAGACCGAAGGGGCGACGGTCGATGAAGGCGAGGGGGTGGACATAGGGGGCTGAGGGGGTAAGGGAGTGAGCGGTGAGGGCAGACTGGTGCTGTCGGAGTTTGTCTCCGCTGAGGTGTTGTCCTCTGCCTCCGGGTGGGGCTCCGTCTCCACGCTGCTGCCCTGGCTGCTCCGCCCGCTGCTGCTGGTGGAGGGCGCCTTGACGATGATGGTGGGGATGGGGATGGAGCTCTTCTCTTTGGCTGCGACTCCTTTCCCTCGGTGCTGCCTCAGCCCGTCTTCCACTTTCGACTGCTTCATCAGAGCCCCGCGACCCCGCCTGCCCCCCCCCCTGCCGGCCGCTCCGCCCTGCTCCCTGTTGGCCGTGTGCGGGTGGTGCTGCGGCGGTGGTTGTTGAGTCTTAGGTTTAGCACTTGTTGGTGGTGTGGCGCTGCTGTAGCCTCTCCGTAACCCTCCCATCTTGCCCCCTCCTCTCCTGGATGCCTCCGGTGCCTCAGCTTGTCTGCGGAGGGTGGGGACCATGCCCTGCTGGTTCACCCCACCAGGACCCCCCCTCTCCCAGCCTGCTTGAGTAGCATGTCCTGGCTGGGATTGGACCTGGTAATGGGCTTGAGATACAGGAGGGATGGGCATAGCAGGTCCTCTCCCAGGGTGAGGGCCTGCTGATAAGGGCGGCTCCGGGGCGGATGTGTTGGGGGGGGGGAGGGATTTCCTCCGGTCCCGGCACCGACAGGCTGCGAGCCAGTTTCATAGCAGGGGGGTGGAGATACTGCCTCTCCTCCTCTGTTACACCTGGGAACAAGGACACATGTGTTTACCTATAGACCGAGGTGGAGGAAGTACTCACACTTTTTAAGTTAGTAAAAGTACAACTACTTAAGTCTTAAAATACTCCATCACAAGTAAAGTTCTGAATTTGAAATGTTAGTTAAGTAGAAGTGTTATCAGCAAATTGTACTTCAAGTATCAAACGTTTAAGTACTCAATATGAAGAATGGCTAAAAATAATTGTATCATAATAGAATATTATATTAATAAGTGTGTATCGCTTACAAATGTTTGTAAGATAAATTGAATGCTGTTGTTTGTCAATTTGGAAACAATTTGAGTTACTAAAAGTTATGAAAACTGGGTATTTTAGTAGAACAGCACTGTGCAATAAATACAAATGTCATCTGTTTTATACACAAACAAAAAATTGTAACCATGGAAAGTTAAGTACGTATCTATAAGTATGTCAAAATAGTACTCAAGTATCATACTTGAGTAAATTTACTTTAAAGGAAAAATAAATATTTCAATTTGAGTTCCCATTACCAATAGATTTCTGCCGCATCATGACGGCGTGCTGAGCGTGGCCGGGTTGAAAGTGAGCTTGGTTGTAGCCGAAACCTTGTCCGGACTGCACCATGCTGCCTGATGGCTGCTGCTGGTGGTTTCAGGTGTCATATTGAAAAAGGAGAAAAGAGAATTTGAAAGGGAGGAGGGAGTAAAGAGAAAAGAAACTCAGTTATAACCAAATCACATTTGTTACAATCAAATCACATTTGTAGGCTGTTAAACTGATATTGATTTGATGAACAGTATCATTTAATACAGAAAAACCAGCGTGTCTGAGTATCAGGCAGGAGAGGATAGATGAATGGACACAACCTGACTCACATTTAAACAACTGTCTAGGTGTGGGTGGTCTATTGTCAATCATTCCCTGTTAAGTGCAGTGAGGGCAGAACAACACAACAGATCAAAAGAAAAGACCAAGCTGCTTAAAGATAGGAAACCTTTTTCTAGCATTAGTCACTTCCATGACTAAATATGTGCTACATCCTAGAGCAGTGAAGAAGCTCTGTTGTTTGTGAATCTTGTGTTTGAAAAAGGTTTATTCAGATGTTTGAGTCTGAAAAGCCAGAAGGACCCCAAATGATGGTAACAACCAAAACCCACCTCATTGGAGCTGTTGGGAACAATGCTCTTGCTCCTGTCCCTCTTGCCTCCATGACCCCTCTGGCCCTGGTTGTCTGGTGTAATAGTGTGTTGGGCAGCAGCCAATATTTCGTCCAGTTTGTCTAAAGAAAAAAAAAAGGGCAGAGAGGAAACGCAGAGAGGTAGGAGGAGGATTTCAGTGAGCCCCTCAAGGTTTGAAAACACCCTTATACAGTATGACAAGAGCGATGAGAGTGATTTCATACTTAGTGCCATCTGATAGACCGTCCTCTTCTTATCAGGACCCAGAGTAGAGTCGTAATCTGAAAAAGGAGGAGATGAAAAAGAGCATCAAACAGGCTGACTTTTAATTAAAGCTCAGGGGCTGATAGGGGGAACGATTAAGGCTGATAGTCACCTGCTTTCTTTTTCCACGGAGAGGCAGCTGTGGCATGCACGATTGGGAGGGAAACAGACATTAGGTGTGACTAGCAGTGCTTCGTAGTCATGTGTATTTGTGAGATGAAAGGATGAAATACATACTCTGACACATGTGATGGAGTGATTTGATGAGAGGGATGAGGACGGGGGATGGAAATGATAATGAGAGCCCACACATCCATGATTCTCCCACCTTTGTCCACTGTACGCAGCACATTGGGTTCAAAAGAAAGAGAAAGAAAAAGGCAGTTGGTGAGTGATGGCACGAGACTTATAGAGTGTTTAATTATAACCTTTTTTTAATATAGAAAGTGTAAATTAATGAAAAAGCTCCATACACATCAAACAATTGCTAATGAAAAAATTAAATCACACCTGTGTCCCATTAATAATGTCACGGTAGTGTAACATAATCCTGCAGAGGAGCTTATAACCCGCCTGACAGACTATATGAAATGTGACCCCCAAGAACAAAGTGGAGCACTCGAATCTAATTGATCTTTTTATATATTTTTCCAGACCCCCCCCCCCCCCCCCCCCCCCCTCTTTATTCTTTGCATTCAGTCCCTTCTTTCATCTTACCCATGTCTTCCAGCTCTGATGTCATTGACTTGGAGCGCAGGGCGATGGCAGGAGGAGTCAGCCTCTTGGTCTGCTGCGGCGCTGCCAAGGGAAGCCGGCCAAATGCAGACTTAATGTTTAGTATTCTCGTATAAACATGCAGTCGCCAAGGACGACCGGCTTTCATGGTAAGGTAAACACGCAATCAGCGTTATCGTCACACATCATAAACATAGGATTGAGATGACGTGAAGGAAAGTTTTACCTCTCTTCCGAGCCGTGTCCTCCAGCTCGGGGTTTCGAGCGACCATCACCACTTTCACCATGAGGCTGTTGCCGCCCTGCCGGATCATGTTGACGACCTGCCGGTGACCAACCTTCACCACATTCTGGCCGTTCACCTGAAGACAAGGGAAGGAAGGAATGAATGCAAAATGACCCATTAAATAAAATACACCAAAACTGCCACAGCCTTGACAGGTTTACTGAAGGGCATCTTGTGACCTCTAATTCACATTGTCTTTCCCCATGTTTGTAATATAATGTTGCCGTTTTCTAAGACTTAGCTTCAAACCTATAATATTTGGAGTGTTTTTGGACACCAGCAATTCAGACAGCGACTACAGTAAATCGCAGTAACAAAAGCTTGGGCAAGTGACTCATAAAAGGTTGAATACTAATAAGCAGTATCTGTCAGCTTTAATAGATGTTTGATAATCACCATTTCTAGATCTGAGTTTTTAAGGAAACATTAGGTAACTTTTAAAAGTACAAAATGGCCAGAAGAATCAGCTGCTTGTGCTTTGTCCACGAGCACCAGAGCTCACAAATAAATATATACAAAATATATACTCGGATACATGATACAAAACTTTAGTCTTAGTAGTAGAATCTGAATACATACTGCAGAAATAAAGAGTACTTTTTCTGTATACCCACTTATCTGCAGAGTACCTTTTCTATTAATTTCCTACATTTCCCAGAATTACTTGTGACACTCTCAGACGAACATGAATGAATGCAATGTATAAAAAGCTTTGTGTAAAAAGTAAATGCCTCGCTCAAAATCCCTCCCTGCCTCCTGTCCATGACTCGCTCTGACAATAGGGACATTTTGAGTGTCTTCCTGTATGGATGTCTTAGTTGAAAATAGGAAATATTCACCACCAAACACCTTGGACCCAGAACTGCAAGGTCAATCAGTCATGAGGGTTTTATTTACGTTTCATCCGAATGTGGTTTCTGATTACAGCGTGGACTTTGGACACATCATGTTTAAAATGAATGAATCCTTGGTTCAGATTGGGCCTCTCTTCCTTACCTCGATGAGGAAGTCCCCCATCCTAAGGCCCGCCCTCCAGGCCACGCCCCCCTCATCTACAGACTCCAGGTATTGCAGTGCGGGGAAGGCTGGCGTTGGAGTGAACTCCTCTATGGGAGTCTGAGCTGCAGAGGACAAGAAAAAAGACAGTGAGTGGACACAGATGGTTTGAAAATGACAATAGATGGATAAGAAAGAGCATATGAGACTGAGAAATCCATAGGAACTGAAAATATAAGAAACGTTGGCAGAGGAGGCTCACCTTTGGCTCCCCTAAGCACAAAGCCAAAACCCTCATTGTCTTTCTTCTGTAGGAGCACTGTCTTCTCCTTAATGATGTAGTCACTTAGAGACAGGGGAAATGGGGATGGAGAGATATAGGGGGAACAAAAGGGGAATTGGAGAGGAAGAGAGCAATATAACTTTTATAGCAACAGAAAAGTATTATTGTAATGCAAATAAATGCTTTAAAGAATGTGGAAAACTGCTTTACTGCAACACATTACGAAATCACACTGCAGCAAAGATGGGTTGGATGGAGAATGTCATACGAAAAGCACTGAAGGGTTGATGGCAGGGATACAGTTAGTGTCACAAGGGGAGGAAGTGTATATGAGATGACAGTCCATACTATGGACTAATCCAGCTGGAGCTGACAAGCACTGGGCCAGGGGGAACGGCACATTAGAAAAATGTGCACACACACTTCACCGATAATGGAAACTTCCAAATGCACCTAAATCGCTGCATTAGCTTTCACTGCCTCTGGCATCTTTTGCAAAGATACTTTTTAACCAACTCTGGCGCGCCAATACCGGTCATACATGACACTTCAAATGATGTACAAGGAGAAGTCTCACAGGGCTCTAATCTCCCTCCAAAAACAGTTCCTCTTGCTGCCTCTGAGGGCAGAAAGGATAAGAGACGTTGGTGATGCAATCTTATCATAAGACTATTGGAGTAGTGTAACAGCTGGGCCAGCGAGCTCCTTCATTATTTTATTACCTTGTCTGGGACTTTCAGTCAAGCTGCTTTACAGCCCTTTCCGTAATATAGGGCTGGTTCAATGGACTCTACGCTGCCACACGCAGCCCATCTCATGACTCAGTTCTGGACTTGACTTTCTAACAATGTCAATTCACCCTGGTTGTGTTAGAGCCCGGGGCTCGAGCAGAGCTGTATGATTCAAGAGGAATTCCAGATATCTTTCTTCTAGGAAGCTCACGTTTGTGTTGGTATGTGCTTATCAGCCCTAACTCAAACTGAAACTCCATCTCAAATAGATCAAAGGATTTGATTTCCTTCATGGGCTGAACTGTGAGTGAACAGGATGAGGAGCCTGGTTGAAGAATTGGCTTCAGAATCAGCTTTGCTGCCAAAACAATGCAGTGTATTTATATACTCAATATATATAAACTCAAGGACATCAATTCCACTAGGAATACCAGTTTTTGGTCCTTCCCCTTTCAAATGTGGGTGAATTGTGTGCATGTTCACGACTGGACCTTTATGAGAAGTAGTAAACGTAAATGGGTTTTTTCAGGCCTTAGTTAAATATGGCAGGCACTGCCTACTCAAATTCTCAATTACAGTCCTCCTTCGCCTGAGTCAGCAGACCTAACATCATAACATGTTGTAACCTAACAATAAACACAACTGTTATATTGGCTGCCAATCAATCAGGCCTTTAGGGAACATGAGGAGTTAAAAAAACATAATATACCATACCAACATTTAGATTTACTTTGAGGTTTTAGGTAGCAGACTTTTATCTTTTTCTTTTCTGTCTGGCAGAGGAGCTTATCACTCCAAGTTCATTCTGCCTCTGCCACTTCTCAAAAACCCAAGTGTATACTAGTCCTAAAATAACAATAACAGTTTGATTATATTCCACACCATCTCTTGCGAACCCAGCAACGCCTTGTGTGTTTTATCCGGCAGAGCTGTAATAAAGTTTGGCTGTGGTAGCACCGAGGCACAGCAGAGTGATGAGAGCTGGCCTACAGGCCTGAAGATCCAGACTTCAACACCAAGTCGCAACTTTAGCGCTGAACAGACGATCGCTAGTTTCCCCTACTGAGGTCCATCCCTTGTGTGTTCTCCATCAATGTTACTGTTTCGCCAACGCACAGCCGCCTTCCAGCCATCTGCTCCTCACACCTCATTCCTTTTTTCTCTCACCCTGTCCTCCACCATGCTTTCCCTCTCTGAAGATCAAAGTAGCAAAGAGTGGGTGGAAGGATCCATTGGGCTATTCATCCATCCACTTCTTAAAGGGGGAAACATGGCCTGCACCGGTCCTCCAGGTGCTCCTAAGTATTGTTGCTTGTTTGCATAAACACACCTAATTTCCTTAACATATTTAAAGCTATTCAACTTGTCTTTGGCCAAATTGCCTGGCCAATTAGGGACATTGCTGGTTAATCCCTGTCGGCTAGTAGGACACGCTCTCTGTGAACTGGCTGCAATGAAGCGGTAAGCTTACTGGATACCAGAGTTATTATGTTCCCTCCTGAGTCATCCTCTCTTTTCTATCCACAATTACTGAGAAAAAAGGGCTGCTTTTTAACCATTCCCCTGCTGAATGTACATGCAGATCGACTGGCTATGTGGGGACTATACCCGCACACACACACACACACACATCTGTGAGGCACTTGGCGGGTGTTGGTGACACACACTGTGGATGGAGCCGTGGTAGAAAGATGAACAGTACATATAGATGAATATATGTACACAGCAATCAAGCAGTATGACGTATACACTTATATGTGAAGACAACATAAATTTCATTCAGTGTATATCTTCACATAAACACAAATGCATGGACACACAGAGACATGCACAGAAAAGACCGGTATCTCAAATTAGAGCTCGATAGGAACTGACAAACCGCGCTCTTGCCACTTATTGACTTATTCCCTTTCATCCTTCTGTAAAGTCAAAGCCCCTCACATTTTTAATGACACACTGAGGGTACATTAAAAGATATAGGATGTGACAGCAGCATTTTTAAAGGAACAGCAATACATGGGAAGTCCTGGTGAATGAAAAATATCTGCTTAAAGAAATCATGACTCAAAGAGAATGAAATACACCCACACTGTCTGACTGAAATGCATCAATATCTGCTCCCTTTCATGCACTAACACACACGGCGTTCAGAGACACACGGGAGGAAGACACCGAAATAAACATGCTGCAGAGACTCCATTCAATAGCCACTTCCGTACCACAGATATTCACATGCAGAGGAAAAAATAAATACAAATGTAAGATGCACGCACGCACGCACACACACACACACAAACACACACACACACACACACACACACACACAGAATACATAGCTTATTAGTCTGTCTTTGAAAAGGCACGGCCTCTCAATAGCATCATCTACCTCTCCCCTCTCTCCATTGTCCTCTCCTCACATCCATAGCCAGCCAATGAATGAGGAAACAGCCGCTACCTGTAAATGAACCACACGCTCCTGTTTCTGGGGCCCAGTGACGGCCACGAAGAAGAGAGGGAGAGAGAGAAATCTCTCTCTCCGCATCCCCCCATTGCCATGTCCCCCCCTCCTCTCTTGTGCTCGCTCTCTCAACCACCACCTCCTCCCTCTTCCCTCCTCCCCCTCCCAGTCTTCCAGCGAGAGCTCAGCCGGAGAGAGCCGCGAGAGTGAGAGCTGTGAGAGAATGAGAAGGGGAGAGACAGCACACTTCAGACAAGAGGAAGACAATGTGAAAGAAAGAGAGAGGGAGAAAATACCAGCGATTATCACACCAGGGAGAGTGTGTGTGCTGTGTGTGTGTGTGATCGGAAGAGGGTTTGGTTGCAAAATAAGGGAGATGGAGAGCTGAGTGTGGGGATGCGGGGGATGGGTATAAATCGGTATGAATTTAAGGCAACACGGGGAGAGACAGTGCTTGCGTTCGCACATCCGCTGTATCACATATTTAACAGCTGATTCTCACCCTGGATTAGCTCAAACACACATTTTGCAAACTTTCCTCTCGCTGCCTCCTCTCCTCAAACGCAGAGCTGTCATCACCACACAGGCTCACAAGTACTCTTCCTCACTCTGAAAATGGTAATTGACATTCTCCCAAAAGCGTGCATTCACTGAGGGAACATGCTCCGGATCACCTCGCTCTTAATTGAGCACCACTTCACCACAGTGTCGCAATTACGCTTAACCAGTTTAGCACAGGTAATAAAACCCCCAGTGGCTGCTATTTCCATTTAGAACACAAGCCACGGCTGCATTCAAGTCAATGCCTTCTTTTTTTCCAATGACAGTGAGAGCGGCTCAGCACAAGGGTAATGTCGGGTACAATGCGTTAGAGGCTGTAAAAAAAAAAACCGGGTGGCCACTGGTAAGTCCGTCTCACTAGCCCAGGGATCTAACCAACGCTTGATGTCTCAGCTTCCTTCGTGACTCATCAGCAGCAAGATGTACACGCATAGACACACTAACTCTCAAACAAACATGCATAGCTTCATAATACACAGCCACAGCTGCCCAGGGCTGAGCTGCAGCCTCTGACAGATGCCATGGAGGAGGAGGAGGAGGAGGAGGAGAAGAAGAACCCCCACTCTACCTTTCACTACTATTGTGTTCGGTGTAAACAAGCAACAACAGAGGGCAGAGAGAGGCATGTAGATGGGGGTATCAAAGAGAGAAGTGCATTTGTCTGCGGGAGCTAAAAAAGGGGCAGAGCTGAAGAAAATGACATGGCTGCCCTTTGTGCTTTCAGCGCTGACGTGTTCAGGCAAAACAATAGGGAACAAGCGCTTATCGGGATCAGCAGAAAACAGACACATGCAGGACACGGGATGTCATGAAACCACGGTAGGTGAAGCGAGAGCACACACACATATGTGAACCTCCTGCAAAACAAGACGGTGTCAACTATTTCAATCACCTTCACTGGCCTCACAGTTTTTTCCCTACAGTAATAAAGCAGAGAGCAGACGGTTCAGTTGCTGCCCACACTCATGTGATCCACACTCTCAAACTATATCAGAGGCTGGGATTATTCTCGTTTTATGAGTACATCTATTTTCTAAACTGGTATCCTGCTCTCGGTTGCTAGGGGCTGAGGGAGTCCCAGCATGCATTGGGAGAGAAGTTAGAAGCAGCTCACAGATACATCACAGGGCAGACAAACACACCCTCACATTTACAATTTTCCAACAACTCACTTCGCAACCAATCAGAAGTCATAGCTACTTTTCTTACCTGGGGCCGTCATTGCCATCGTAGGCGCCGACGGTGACGTTACGGAAAAGCTTCCTCTTGGCTTTCTCGCTGCGCGTCTCTGCAAATTAAAACATATGTTCACTTTAAAACCTTCAGCTTCCGTCATGACACCTTCGCCGTCATTTTTCTAGAAGTGTTGTGTCCTCAGTGTGACACACAAATTATTAAACTATATTTAGGTCCTTTTCTTGTGGCTTGTGCGTGGCATATGGTTTGTTTGCTGCGTGAACAGGACAGCTGTGAAAAAGGTAGAAAAGGGATTGTCTGTGCTGTATATGTGGCACAGTCTGATACAAAGAAGGGCCTTCTGCTGAACACGAGTGTGACATGTGCCGGGTGTTACAGTGACTAGAGGATAATTCCAGCCTGAGGGAGCATGTAACCCATTTTCCAGCATGCCATTTATTTTGTATTATTACTGTTAAGTGTCTCGTTAACATTACTACCTATAACACGTTTATTTGAATGGTTAACAAAACTCACTGTTTCAAATGTTTTAGGGGCCGTATTATTTCATCATCTCATTCTCTGAATAGCTAGCCCATATAAGCGTCAGTGTTACATAGTGATGTCATCATGTTATGGAAGTAAACAAAGGAGTCCAATGGAGGCGTTTTAGGCGGGGGGGGAATGTGTGGGAGAGAAACTCCCTCTGGATGGAACTTTGGGATTTAAGCTTTTGCAGAGCATTTACATACACAAAAACCTTTATAGCACACTACAAAAGGAAGCCAAAAAAGAATAATAGTGCCCCATCAAATATAAATGTACTGTAGGTCAGCGACAAAATCCATCTCTCAGGAGATTGCCTGAAACCCCATGGTTTACATTTGCCATAGACAGATTATTTTAACATACAACGAGCTCCAAGCGGTTTTGTCTCACCTGTTCGATTGTCTTTGCTGGGAGGCGCCACTTCTTCCACGCAGTCTGAAGGAAACCAGCCGGTGCGACCTCTCACTGTTCCCTCCCAGTACCCCCCCTCTCCCACACTTAACACTGGGACAGATAGATGGAATGATAGATGCATTTATTCAAAGCATTGATAAATGGATGTTATTTAATGTGGGTTTTTGTAAAAAACGTTTACACTGGTATATATCTTCCCCTGGACTAAACCTAAGCAACCTATTTCCTAATAAAATTGTAGGTTCCACTGAGAATGGCCTGGAACATGTATTGCTTTGTAATAACTGGATGTGTCTGCAGCTACTTCTCATTTCTCTTCTTTACGATCCTCTCTTCCCTCATGTCAACATTTTATGGCTGGTAATGTTTTAGATCATAGCTTAAATGTTTTTCCTGCATCGGCCTCTAACACAGCAGCACTGTAATGTATTTCTACATTACACAAAATCATCTGCAGTTGAAAATGTTTGACCAATGTTGTGTTAAACAAGAATATCATTAAATGAACGTCTAGGGGCAAGTTTTTCTCTCATTCTCATAAAACCCTACTTCTAAATTGCGGCTCTGTCTCACCTTTTACTCTGTCGCCTTTGTTAAGTGACAGTTCTCTGTCTCCACCAGAGGAGTGGGCACGGGTGGCCACGTAAACCCTCCCTGGCACGGCGCTGTACATGCGCTTCATCTGACCTCCACCACTGCCCGCTGAGGTGGCACTACAGAGGGAGAGAGGCCGATAGAGAGGCTGTTCAGAAACACAAGAGATAAGACTGTGCTGCACACTGTGGAACAAGTGAGACAAAGTGATACCACATACAGCTTGTCACGCTGTATCAGAGTCAGTCAGTAGTTGAGTCATTCTTATCAGTCATACCAACACTAAGAGTCTATGCTTGGATTTACTAAAGGTGTCTAATATTCAGTACGTATCATATGTCAGAAATATAGAAAGTTTAGTTAGAAACTCTAAGAAGTAAGTCTTTTTGAGTTCTGGGATAATCTAAAGTACACAGTATCTAAGCATTAAAAAACGTCAAGTACCATATTTCTACACACACACAAGAACCACTAGAGGAAAAGGCAACATCTATACTGCACTTGCGTGTGCCATTCAGTTACAAATAGTACACAGTATGCAACAGAGACTCAAATAGTTATTATCCTGCATACAGAGGATGGTATCTGTAAATATAGAGGGCACGTTTATAGGAAGGCCTTAAAGGACCCTTCTCCATAAGCTCCTTACCCCTGTCTGCCTCTGGGCTGCCGTTGCCTTTCCTCTGTGTCACTTTGCCCCCCCCTCCCTCTGGATGGGGAGCGAGTGCGAGTCCTGGGGCTGCTGGAGCTCCTCATGCCGATAGAGGCTCTGCGTTGAACCTGCAGACACAACCAATCCCCATAAAGACAGAGCCTTAAAGTGGATCCTCTAACTCACTATACGTCAAAGACTGAGAAAGATATAATGAAGTATATCTAATATCACAAAGAGCAGCAGATCCACCTAATGGTCCTCAGTACCTGTCCCGGGTTGGGATTGGTCGCAGCCTTGATGGGCAGGGCCAGAGGGTCAGACTGGGTCATGGAGTTATCGCTGTTAGCGCGCAGTAGGGGGTGGGAGTGAAGTGAGGGGAGAGGCAGAGTGGCGGCGCTGTCTTTTCGCTTAGGGACATACTTTGGCGTTTCCAAAAAGGGCACTGAAGATGGGGGTGTGAGGTTAACGGATGAGGGTTTATAGAAGGGGTAAAAAGTGAGGAAGAGCAGTGGGTGTTTCATGTGACAGGATGAAATGGAGGGAGAAATTAAGTAGATTGTTAGGTGAAAAAAGAAAGGAAGTGCAATTAAATGATAGATTCAGCAAAAAGTAAATCAAATGTTGAGAACTCATCGTAAGACTTGATCCCCTCGAGACATACAGTTTGGATTGAAAGCTTACCTACGTCAGAATCTTTGTGGTTTTTGATGATTTCCGCGACTTCAAAGTGACCTGACATTATAGCTACCTGCAAACACACAAAAAGTTATTTCAAAAATTGCTTTTTTATGCTTTTTCTGCATTATTTGGTCACAAAACTGATGATTGACTTGAATTGTAATTTCATGATGAAAATGCATACATTCAAAGCATTTACCTGAAAAGGGGTCTGACCATGTTTGTTCTTTGCCTCCCTATTTGCTCCCCTGTACAGCAGAACCCGGATACAGTTCTCCTGATCATTCAGGAAGGGAAAACGATGAGTTAACAACCGTAGAAAAAAACAGCAGTAGTAATTATGGTTATAATAATTTCATAAAAGGGAATCTGTTTCCAAACTTGCCTTGTTGTACAGGGCAGAAATGTGAAGCGCACTGTTCCCTGAGGCATTTTGAGAAGAGGTGTCTGCCCCATAAAACAGCAGATGCTCCAAGTGCTGGGCAAAGCCATTCTGGCAGGCCTTTCAGTGTCAAGAGAGTGATAGAAATATCCACAAATTGTAAGAATGACATAATATAGCAAGAGGCGAGTTAAAGCCAAGAGGGGGATTTCAGATGGGAGTGTTTGAATACACAGAATACAACAAGGCAGAAAGAGGGGGGTAAGATGAGAGATATGACGAAAAAATAAACAAAGCCAAAGAGAGATGATATGTCGTACATAGATATTTAGATCTATAATTACTTTTACAGAAAAACAAGTTCAGAAGCAAATACATTACACCTTGTTGGAATAGAAAGAAAGAAACAAATTAAAAGAACAGAGATGAGCTTTCAGCAGTCTGAGAAGATCCCTCATTCAGCAGGGACTAAAATATCACAAGATACGTACAAAGTACAGAAAGACATCACAGAGCACGGCAAAACAAAAATAAAATACCATGACAACCGGCTCGCAGCACAAACGCATCTCACAAAGACATGATGTAGGCAATGCACCCATATCTACAGTAATGAAGGAAAGTATCCAATGCCCTTCCTTAACTGAACTCTGCTTCTTAGTTTATCTACATATTTTCAATATCATATATGACTTCCAGTGCCCTATGTAAGGCTGGTGGGGATGATGAGATGGTAGGATGAAGGGTACCTTGTGTATTTCTTCCATTCCAAACTCGTCTTCATCCCTGTGCTATGGGAAGAGACAAGGAGGGCAGGAAGGAGAGAGAATGGAGAGACAAGTGAGGAAGGCTGAGAGAAGAAAAGAGGGGTGTGTGAGAAAATGCTGAGAGAGAGTGAAACATCAAACACAGAGATCAAGAGAAGGAAGAGTTGGTGCATTGCTTCAATTGAAGAGAAATAAAGACAAGTGACGCACACGTGAAAATATGGAAGAAACACATGGGAATCAATGGATGGACAGATGTACATTAAACTGTCCATTGGTACCTGATGAGACTCATCCCAGCCATTCTCATCCCTGGACCCCAGCTTTGATCTGTAATACAGCAGCGTCTCGCAGCAGGAGGTGTCGCCCCCTGTCAGCACGGTGTGGTACAGCGGGGTCAGGCCACAGCGGTCTTTGTAGTTTGGAGACGCTCCGAGGGACAACAGAGCCTAGCAAGGCGAGACAACAACAAAAAAGAATTATACTTGTAATATGTGTGGGTGTGCATATTCTGTCTGTAATGAGAAACAGATGAGCCAAGAAAGAATGAGAGAGTTAATAAGGTATATGGTTGTGCCTTGTTTTAGTGCTGCTTCTTATCAACATAATATATTTATAGAAGAATTCTGTGATACCCGCTTTCATTTCTATATCATTAAGATGTTATACTGTACTGTAGCTTGATTATTTAATGTCGTTATTTATATATACAACAAGATACTGCGTGTTATACTGCACATCTAAGCTTTAGTTGGATGGACAAAATAATGCATTTCCTAAAACAAACACGTCTACAGAGATGGCTCATGCTAAGCAGTTGCCAAAGTATCTTTGACATGTTGTATTTAAAAACAACATGAGGCAGCTAGCAGAGCCCACAATGGTAAAACTGTTTCCAATTGCAAGTGCTTTACTTCAAGATATACCAATGTATCTAAGTAACTGCTAAATGCTTCTATATGTCTTTCAACCTAATGAGCAGCAACATATGATGCAGCATGTTCTATTTATTCACTTAAATTTTAAATACTTATTATATGAGAAGTGTATGTGTCTTTGAATGATTCTTATAACAGAATCATTCTGTCGATTTGGTCCACTTTGCATCTCCTACTTCAGTGTATTTGCAATATGTATGCACCTTAATTCAAAGTGCTTACCATCAGCCCAGCGTGATTGTGAGCCCTCACAGCTTTGTGCACCGGTGTGAATCCGTCTCTGCACCTGAAGTCCAAATGAGCGCCGCCCACAACCAGCAACCGGATGCCCTCCACCGGCATGCCCGCCTGCATTGCCACAGAGAGCGGGGTTTCTGACCCACAGGAGGAGGGGTGGTGAGGAAAGATGGCAGGTAGAATGGAGCAAGTGAAAATCCACCCTCAGATACTCTTATAGTGTTCATATCATTAATCTTAAAGGTCCCCTATTACACAGTTTTTTTATCAATATATTAGAGGTCTCAAATATATACAAACATGTCTCTGAAGTGTTTGGCTGAAACACCAAACAGATCTTTGTAGCATCCCATAATCCCCTCTGTTTCAGCCCTGTTTCAAAAGTGCTGATTCTCTGTCTGTTAGATGAAAATAAGGAGCCCCTCCCCACGCCCCTCTGAGAGATATTTGGTTAAAAAGAACACAATGGTGCTCTAGGAGGAGATTCAGGTGATACGGTGAGGGGGGGGGGGGGGGGGGGTTGATGATTAGCTAATGGTTACACAACCCAAAACAAACCTTATGACATCATAAAGTGGCCAAAATCTGATCAGCTCATTTTCAGATAGGTTTTTATATAAATGGATCAGGACAAAAAGGGAGAGAATCTTTTGTACTGAAACAGAGTCTCTTTACACAGAGGGGACACATGTTGATGTAAAAGAGACATGAAGAAGTGGATTTTGTATAATAAGTGACCTTTAATCACTTATAATGTATTCAGGGTTGTTGCAAACTTACCTCCAGTGTCAGGGTCATGAAAATTTGGATCAAGACCTTTCTCGAGGACTTTTGCCATTTTCTCTATTGCTCCAGTCTGAATGTAATCCAGGAACTTCTTCAGACTGGCCTGAGAGAGCGGGAAGAGGAAGGAAATGAATGTAAGAGTGGAAATGAATACTGTATACAGGCATTACTCAATAAACACAAGAAGAAATACCTTTGTGCTGAGTTTGGCGAGCGCCTTCTCATCCAGATTCGTCTGTTTATAAACTCTGGTTTTGTACCTAAACTGAACACCAGAAAAAAGATACATGTCTAAACGTATTGATGAAGAGGAGCAAAGGTAGGCAAAACTAAAATAGATGATTCACTTTTTTTATTCTTAGAATGATTGATGGCTTGTGATTTTTCAGCAAATAATTCAATTTAGCAGTGCAGCTTTAAAGCACAGATCGCCATTACTCTTGCAGCTAAACTCTCTCACTGCTTCCAGAAATTCACTCTCCCACTCAAAGTCGTTGGAACAGCTCCATGAGTCTGTAAAGTATTAATTCAGATTTGGTGTGTGTTTCTTGGAGAAGCTTTATTCCACGTACAGTGCCAGCATTGGAATCAGTGGACATATATACAATGTCTTTAGAAAAACGGAATTGTTGTACATAGTTCCTAAAGTGTTTCCATGTGGTGGTCTAAATGTTTCAGAGTCTTCTCTATAAGGGATGAACTGCTCGAAAGCGTCCAGTATTATGCGCTGGTATCAGGACTAAAATTGTATTTGTAATGTTTACTAGTTACATTCTACAACAGCTTATTATTAAGAATATAAATAAATAGTATCAAGAAACTACTTTATACCAGCGAACACTGCTCCATTCAAGTGACGCGATTACTCATGTTATAAATACACGGGTGGAGCAGTGAGATACATTCTGCTGTGCTGAGTTTAGCTACGAGGCTTCATCAGTAGTAGACATGTCCTCATGGGGAACCTTATGAAGAATGTAAACACTCTGGTTTGAAGCCAAAACCGGAGCCCCACCCAGCTCCACAGTGTACAGCAGCTGCTCCACCAGAGGGCGCTGTGGGACTATTCTACCACATCATGAACACTTCATATTGATGTCATCTCACAACCCACTTCCTACAAAGTGGGGAAATAAAATATAATTTGGAGGTTACATAAAGCACAGAATGCGATTAAATCCATGAAGTGGATATTATTTTTTCATTAACCGTGTTGAGCATGGGGATTCTAATACAAAAATTAAACTTTGAGTTATTTGTCTTGTGTTTTTTTTTTACCTAATAACATTTCAAAGTATGATGCAGTGCAAAAGTTAATGTCAAGTGCTGAAGATGATGTTGTTGTTCCAGCTTTCCCCCAGTATGCAATTTGGTTGAGATTACAAAGCTGTAGTTGATGTACAGTAATAAAGAGAGCACTCATTCAGGGCAGTAGATACCACTAAAACTAAGGTTTCACCTTTTATCCTCAAACTGAATTATCTACTTACAGAACATCACTGATTAAGAGCTGCAACGAGCTGCAACGAGCCGTATAGTGGAGAGAGTGAATACTGCTGAATACACATACTATACAGAGATGCTGTATGCGAAACCAATGTGAGTTTGGAACATTGAACAATGTAAATCTATTCTAGTAGACCTCAACAATGGAATTATGATCAGTGGAAATGGCCATGACATGTGACCTTTAAATAAACACTATTTTTGAAATGTTTTAACCTTTTCCCCCGTAGCTTCTGACCCAATATGTTTATAACAGTGTAAATATCTACTCCGAACACATGTTATTGTCCTAAATATTCTAATTGTATTCTCTTTATATGTATTTGTATCACTTATATATGCTTTATATCTGCTCTCTCATGAATGCTTTGTATATTATCCTATTGTCAAAAAGAATGTACAGTAAGGGTTGTAGCAACATTTTTGAATATTGTATAGGCTGGTTATTATTTTTTTGACTAAGTATAATTAAATGAATACTTTTAAGTCAATCAATAAATACATAAGCGTTGGATTTTAATGGTTTCAGCCGAGCTCAAAAATAAAGGCTCTTCTTTGATTTATTTTTCCATTCTTTAACAGCTGACATTTATTTTGGGTGTTGGTGCTATGGGATACTTGCACCTCAGCAAAACTAAACCACCTCCCCCTCCATACCTCCAGGTAGGGCACCCCCTTCTCAAAGGTCTGAGCGTAGTCCCGCAGGGCGCGCTCCTCCTCCAGGAACTTGGCGTCCCGTCCATCTCCAGCCGGCTGGAAGAGGCCGTAGTTGTAGACGTCCCACAACGACTCGGTGAGGGAGCAGACGATCTGCTGCTTGGCGCTCCACACCAAGCACTCCTGGTCAAACTGGAGACACCTCTGATGGACACACAGAGAGAGAGCAAGGGGCAGCGATCAGGGGGTAATAATTACAGTTTGTATTCTATTACAATGAAAAGGGTCAGTTAACCCGAAATCAATCATCTTTCAAATTGAATCAACCACGTACACTATTAAAAAGCTGCTGACATGTTCATACTAAAGCTAAAGTAATCACCTATGATAACAGAGGCCATTGTGCATAGTGCGATAATGGATGACTTTTATGTTTATTTGTGTTGACAATACTTCTTTACTTCCTCTTAAGTTAAACTTTGCATGCAGGATTGTTACTCAGTAAATAGTCTAAATATGTTTTAAGTGCTTCCTAGAAACGTTAGCTTTTCTGAGTCCAGTAATTGTTTAATAGATTTTTGTACCTATGTGTCTTTTGTCCAAGAAATAGGATCATTTCTGCCTCTAACCGCTCTGTCCCTGAGAAAAGTCAATATCATTAAAGCAGCAGCTAAATTAATTGTGCTGTTTGTGTGTTTAACCTAAGGGTGCACGCAATTATATTAATACACATAGCTTCCGCATTATTCAGTCAGTTTGGTGAGATATCTGGTGAAGGGCATTATAATATAATGGATTAATAATGTAGCATGACGGTTTTACCTTCCATTTGTGAATGATGAATGCATGAGAATGTGGTGTGTGCTGAATATGAATGCATTACTTTTAAATAATTTATCCTCTGCCACACATATGGAGATATGATTTATGCTGACCTTACTATAAGTACTATCAGAATATTCTTGCCTATGTTATGATCATTCTTCCTCTTTACCCCTGATAAAGAAGTAAAGATGATATACTGGGATAAACATTTGCCTTTTGTATCTTTCCCTCTTCTTTGATCTTCGCATGCATAATGTCAGTCTTGCACCACAATCGAAAAGATAAGAAACCAACTAGCGTCAAGAGGACATCTCCTTCACCTCTTACTATAGAAGCCTGTGTGATACACCAGAGGCGTACCGGCCTCAATGGGAAAAAGCCCTTAGATGTACAGTATGGTGTGTATGTGGTATGCCTAACTAGATTTCACGGTGATTCGAGCACTACCCATTGCTCCACATTATTACATTTCCTTGCATTTACACAGAGAGACTATCTTTTTTTTTATTAAAGTCTATAGCCGGAGGACATACAGTAGCATGGGGGGGGGGGGGCATTAACAACAAGAGGTCTAAATAAGATGTATGCATCCATGCTATTGTTCCATCTCAGGGAACTGTGAGTAAAACTGCACAGCTCAGCACTCTTCCAAGCACTCCCCCCCCCTCTGAGCCCAATGGGTTGCACTACTTGATAGTGTAGCCAACTGTATTGGCATGGCAACCAGTTCATTAGTGAAGGCAGGCGCCCGTTGCCGTAGCAATGTCTTGGTAGTCCCTGGGAGGTAACCACATGATGAGGATGTTGAGAAGTATATGTGTGTGTAAATGTGTTGTGTATTAAAGAGAGAGATTGAGTGGCTAACCCCTTGGAGAGAGTATAACGTAATGTATACTGTGTATTACAGGGACGCTTCTTCCCCCATCGCTCTGTTTTACACAGGGTTTGTTTCTGAGATCTTTCTGGTCCACACTCAGTGGAGTTTTTGGGATCTTCCCCATGCAGTGTTATGGTATTTGTAAATGCGTATATCTTCCTTTTTACTTATTCATTCCCCACCTCTCTCTTCACAGCATGTATTCCCTCCCCTCACTGTCTTCAACTAGCTCCTAATATTCTCTCCCTCTGTTCATCCCTCCTAATTCAGTTCAATATTATTTCAGCTGCGAGTGTTTGTCAGTGCTTTGCAGAGCTGCACACGATGCCGGTGGCTGATGGAAGACCAAAGAGTAACGCAGATGCCTTTCCACATATTCATTTGTTGCCAGCGTCACTCACTTCCCCAGCTCTCCCCAAACTCATTAAAAACCTATAAGATAATTAGCAATTACTGTTATATTGAGGGCAGATTAGCTGACATGTAGAACAGTAGGCCTGTTCAGGGAATTGAAAATGGAGGAGGGAAGATTTGGGGGGAGGGGTTACCGTGGGGCACCCGTTCTCGCCTGGATATGTTGGTGTGGGCTGAACAATTCTCACCTGCCGCCACCATTCAGCAGAGAGTTGTGGAAGTGTGAATTGATAGTGACTTTTTTGGAAACTAATTATGATCATGTCTGACCCAAGGCAGACGCTTGCATGGTGTTGTTGACTAAATATGTGGTCCGTAGCTCGCAGGTTGCCAAACACAAGTAAAGCTCTGTGTTTTTTCCATTTGGGAATTGGCCCTGGGCTTGTGAGATGACTGGAATGAAAATGCTTTGCAATAAGAGATGTGCTTGTACATTTCTCCACAAACTATTTGTCAAACAGTATAAAAGTTCTTATGAAGTGTTTATAATAAAAAAGTTTTGTCTCCCACTCAAATTGAAATCAGTAAAGGTTGCATAAGCAAAATGCCTTCACATCTAAAAGTACCCTGAGCCTATCAGTGCCAGGGACAGCTGTCTTTATGTCGCAGTACACCATAGTTGTGGTGCCTAATGCTGACTTTTGCGAGTGGTACACGTACTGTTAGCTGCAGGTGATCATGCATCTTCCCCGCCCCCTCTCTTCTTATGTTTTTCTATGCAAAGTTTTAACTTGTATCCCTCCTTTGTAGAAACATAGCCTCTGCCATACTCCTAGCATCTGCTACGTTTCTATGGTCTCTCCTGTATGATAATGACAGACAGAAGACATTAGATACGCACTTTAGCTTGTAGCTATTTATCTCTCTCTGAGGCAGTAATACCAGAGAGAACTGGCTTCAACTACTTCCTCATTTGGAAAGACCTCCAGTAAGTGTTTCAGAAAATAGATATGAGGAAACGATCCTATTCCACCTTACTTTTTGTCAGCCAGGACCTCTCTTAATCTTTCTTTTCTTTGTTTTGTAGACTTATATCAGTTGTATGTAGGTATCTTTAGTTTGTGTTAGGAGAGGTACTTTTGTTGAGTGCACCTACTGTTTGTTTGATGTCGGGAATCCCAATGCGGAACACCATCATGGTCAGGAAAGTGTCCTCCATGGGAGCCATTGTGGTCATGCTGCGCTCCATATGGGCTCGTCTCTTCTGCTGCGCGTTCAGGCCTGCGTGGTGAGGCTGAGGATTGGCCGCGATGACATGATGCTGTTGCTTACCGGCTGGTGGATGATACAGCAGGGCTTGATTGGTCATGTATGTGATACCGCGGTTGCCCAGGTTGCCCTGCCTCATTGGGCGGTCTGCTCTCTGTCTACTGACCACAATGGCTGCTGGTTTCATCATCTCGCCACCTTTCCCTTCCCAGGATTGTCTTCCTCCGGTCATTTCCGTCTCCTCCAGACCCTCTAACCCTCCATTCTCTGTGTCACGTCCATCTTCCCATTCTCTGTTTTCTCTTCCCTGCTCCTCTTCCTCCTCCTCATCCTCCCCATCTTTGTCATCCTGACCGGGATAAAAGTGCTCGTTATTTTCCAGCATCCTTTGCTGTGCAGGGGTCACTGCAGAGAGGGCTGAGTGACATTGCTGTCATGGAGATAAAACATGACTATCCCATGAGACTGGCTTCATCCTTAGAAACATGCTGTGGAAAACAGGCAGAGAAGGGAGTCAACTTTGGTCACTTAACATTGATTACATTGATAAAGTGAATTAAGCCAAATTAGAAGGTAATAGACACGTGCAACAATAGAAAAGCTAGCCTCCAGCAATGCTAATAAGTCGACATGTGTGAATGAGCACACAGCTGGTCCACATTTTCCATTTAGCCACTGGGAAAGCATCGGGGAATAGCAGGCTGATGAAAGACAGGCTAAATATAAACTCTGTGAATTTGCATCACAGGTTCCTTGCAGAAGAGAGTGAGTTGGATATGAAATGTGGCTTCACATGAGGTCAAGATCATTGCTACTTTGCGGTAATGGAGCCAACCTACAGTATGTGTGAGGCACAACCCAGGGCTTACAGCTAGATGTAAGCCCATTAAAAGAAAAATAGCACCCTCAGATACATGTACACTGGTATACATTGTCAGTCTGTGATGTTTTTTTTTGCCTTGATCATGTCAACATTGTTCAGCGATACTTTTTGACAACCTCAAGAAAAATGCCTGAAATTGTTGCACAAAGTTCTGTGCAGCTATAAGAGTCAGAATTACAACAATATATCTGTCAGTTCACTACAAACAGAATTAAAGTGTTTTTTGTTGCAAAAGCAAGATTATGGATTTGCAACAAAAACCACAGGGCTTGTGAATTGATTGTTGTTGCTGTGTAGAAAGCCTATGGCCTGGTGAACTTGTCAATATCTCACACATGCTTCAGTGCTTTTTTAATACACTCCAACAAACCCTTAGCTGCAGTTGATGGGAACTGTTTGGTCTGTAAATCTTGTGGGGCTGTGTGTTTTCTATTTCACTTCCTCGGTAAACTGTATTATGTATTGCTTTAAGGAACTTGTGTGTCCTATCTGCGACATACATCTACAGCCTGTCTGTACCTCAACTTGTGAGCGTTTCCAACACGCTTAGACACTATTCATTTAAAAGACCATGGGGCTATTTCCGAGAAGCAGGATATTTAAATAACCCAAAGTCCACGTTTTTAAATTTGTGCTTTTACTCAAAGATGTACATTTCCGTGAAGCCACTTCTAGGATGCCACATCTTAGCATAATGGCATTTGCTCAGTGTGCAAATCACCTCAAAATACAACTTGCATCCCAAACAGCTATTTTTAAACATTTAAAGGTGTCTCAGTGTGGATGTTGTCGTCCAAATTGTTTAATTGCTCGAGTGTGTTTCAGATTTGGCATGCTTGGGCCTCCATCTGTTCTGTCCTGGTTAATCTCTGGCTAAAGGGCTTTTGCCATCATGGAGATCTGGACTATTGCCAACAGCAGCCTTAATAATGGCGAATGACGCAGGGAATCTCCCATTAACAGTTTGGCGCTCTAAATATCATATGAGTTGGTGTCTGTAATAGATGGGTAACAGGACAGATGGAACTCAAGCAAATATCAGATGGAATTAGGACACAGATCTTAGCTCATTAAATCACAGATTGACAACATGCATATTTATATTTAATTAGTTTTTAGTACAATATGAAGGAAGAAATGGTGCTGATGAAGGTTAAAGGGACATTAAGCGATCTATGACTTTTGACTTATCAACCTCTATCGGTGATCGAGGACATCGACAGGTGTCTGGCACAGCTTACAGTGGCCTGTAATTGACATACATAATAATGTAGAGATGAAGAAGCTAGACAAAAGCCAGAGTATTCAACAAAAACATTGAAGAGGTTATAGAGTACACCCATATTCAAATAACTTTAACAAGAAAACTGTGTTTTTTTATCTTGAAAACAAAGTGCTTGCTGGTCTGCCAACATTGGCTTCACTGCTCAGTTGATAATGTCAGCATGCCTTTGTACTTCTTCTGAAAAACATGTATCTTGGGATAACAGCAGGATAAAGAAAGAAAAAAAGGAAATGCAGGATAGCTTGTTGATTTAGCTCTAGCATATAGTTAGGTTAGACATTACAACTAGGCTCAGGATTTGGTTATGGGTTAGGCATTAACTTAACTTACATTTGGGTTGCAGACATATGTTTGATCCCCCTGAACCACTGAAGTTAATAGGTCACTTTAGGGAAGTTGGCATAATCAATTTTTACACAGGTAAAAATATGAAGATGATGAGATTGTGACCTAGGATTGGGTCACGGTGTCTAAAAACCTGGACACGTCCTGTAGCCAGGGATGTTTTTAATGCAACAATACAAACGACAGATACTGCACATTTCCAGAAAACCACTTTTCAATTACTGTAATTATATTGACAGCAGTGTTTAGCTGATTGACTGGATGTCTGCAAAACAACCCAAAGCTTTTCCGCTCATGCCTCACTGGGCAAGAGGAAGTCTGCCAGTTGAGCATTTCTGGGCAAAAAGGGCGATACAACGGAGGGAAGAGGACTGGCTGTGATCGATTTCCCAGGATGCTTTGAGAGTGACAGGGTGTGCTACTTCAACACAAACACAGTGTCTGTCAGAGCAAGTTGACCAGGGAGGACAGAAAGAATAGAAAACTGGTATCTATCCACACTACTTTTGAGGAATGTGATGTGATAAATGAATAAACAATGTGAGGCTGGCTGACACATAACACTTTTTTCATTAAGGGATTGTAGCACTGGCAGTAAATTGAAGGGGTCTCAGTGCGTTCAATAGCCTTCTGAGAACTAAGGTGTTATCAATTGCCTGTATTTATAGGGAAAAGCACAAAACAAATGATTTAGGCCGACAACCTCTCTCAAAAGTTGACAAAAGCAGTGTGTCAAACGGTTTTGGAGATTAACGCTATCATTCAAGTACACCAGGAGGGAATAGAAGAGGTTGATTTATGAACAAAGTCTCATCAAATATTGAACAACATTGAGTCTGCACCAGGCAAGATAAGGAACGGAGGACAAGCTGAGAGAAGCCTAATAATTGGGATGTAAAAACCCAAAGGGGAATACACAGGAGAGAAACACAGAGAGAGTTGTAGTTTGCATAAAGCAGAGTAATCAGATTGAGAGAAAAAAGAGGGGGGTGAGAGAGAGCCGTGAGTGGAAAAGGAATGACAGCAGCAAGGGGAGAACTGAGCCAAAATCAACAGTAATGTGAGGATAAAAAGCAGATGAAATGAGTGACACTGCAGACTTATGTTTAAAGAGCTATTTGATTTCACATCCTAACTATGGCGAGTCCAATTAAACCTTCTGAAATGGCCTCTCTAGCCTGTACAACTCATTATGTATGTCGCAACTCATCTGGTCTTTGCCTTCACTCAACTCCTACACTCTGCCACAGCAAAAGCTCACATATAGACTTTTTCTAGCCGTTTGGCTCTTGTGTCCCTGTCGGGGCCATCAGCTGTCTGTCCAATCAGCTTGACTCCTTGGGAGAAGGGTGGTGGTAGAGAGCAATGAATTCCACTTTCAAGACAGTCTTTCTGCATCTTCTGCCAGCTGCAGAGCGTACTCATTTTTCACTGTCTTACACCGAAGCAGTTTTTCCGCCTCTCACTAGAATTGTTTTTCATTGGCATGTTTGCTATAGTTACTCTGAAATGCTGAGGTCAAAGGAAAATGTCCAGAACAGCCTGCACCTCCTAAGTATGGCCTGCTTGAAATGTCAGCACGACTCATTCTACTTTTCCACTGAGGACATGATCACACAATGAATACACGCAGGTTAAATTCCTCTGTTCATTGTACACGGCTGTTACCATGACTCATCTCAAAGTCCTAATGTGTAATTGCTGGCATTTCACCAAATGACAGTGTTGTATAATAATGTTGAATATTGCAATAAATTCATCTTTGCTACAGTTGGGGCACACTCCTGTTATCTCCATCGATTGGTGTAAGGTGGTCTTAAACTCAGGACAATCTGTCTTAAGTCATTCTGTTTCTTACTGTTGACATATTTGGAAAAATCTCATAGTTTGTGACTAAAACAAACTTATGACACAATATCTTAGCTGTGAGAAAGGGTCAGACTTTTTCCAAGTCTTTTAGTTTATGTTAATCTTAAATGGTTATGCATCAAAAGTTTGGAAATGGTTTCATTTTGGACCTATTGGAGTTATTGGAAATGTTCATATGATCAAACAAGTCAGAACGAACCACATGCAGTGACCACTGGAATCAGTTCTACTAATAGTATAATTCCAACACTAATGATATTAGCAGAGCCTACTCTTTTGCTGCACCTTTGCAGAAATACAGATCTATACAGAATGACTGAACATTCAGATGTTAATCTAGATTTGTTATGTCAACGTTAGGAATGAAGCTATGAACTATCTGCTACAGCCCAAGCCGAAAGCATCATCTAGATACTTTTTTGTATCATGGACAATGTTTTTATTTGAGAGTAATACTCAAAAGATTAGCATTGGAAGTTACTCACTTGATTTGATGAAGATTTGCAGAAGCCTGCTTAAGCTTCAGATACATTTGAGTTATTTTATCACGCAGAATGAAGATTGGATTTTGTGTCCAACTACTTAGAAAGAAAGGCCATTAGGAAGGAATCTCTTTATGGCTGTATGAACAGGAAGAATGATTACAGAGAGCAAACTAATTCCATATGGCTCTCTGACTATGAGTTGCAACAGTCATGCAATGTAAGCGAAGAAAACCGCGACATCTGAAGATCTGAGAAGGTGGCGAGCCAATCTGTCCATAGCAGACCCAGAGAGCGGTTGACTTCTGGTGATAAGATGCCAAGTGGAGACTCTGAAGGAGGATGTTCGATAGATCTGGGGCTGACATCGGCTCACAGACCGCAAGGACATAAAGAGAGTATATGAAGAATCAGGAACTAATTCATCACGATAACGAGGACAGAGATAGATACCCTCCTTGAGCCCCTGGAAAGCTAAGATGGATGGATGGAGATCTGCTGAGAGAGGTCACTGATCTCTTTCGTCTGTATTCTTCTCCGCCTTTTCTGAAATCTTTTCTGGAAATCTTGCCTTTTTAGCAAAGAGCGGCAAGGTTGAAATAATGACTTTGGGCTAATTTAGATTATAATGAACAAAACATTATGCATGGTTTGTTTAACGAGTCCAACTAAAGGTTACGAAGATTCCTATTATGCACTATGACAAATATTGTTGCATCTGTTGGACCGATTTGAATGTGAAATCCCATTTTCAAATTATGTATGAATTCGTTTTTGTTAAAATATCTTACTTGTCACTACGGTAGAGCTTTCTGAGATCAAATAAATATCCAGTCCCAGCACAATGTTATACTTCATGGAGTCAGTTTAACACACACTGATGATATTTCTTCTTTTTGTCTATCTCTTCCTCTCAGTCACTCTCTCCCTATGTAGGACAGAGCATGTGTATAGATATATTTTCAGTGTATCAGTCCCCGGAAACTAGAATTGGAGATCATCCAAGGAACACATTGTCCCACTTTTAAGTCCTGCGAAAGTAGAGCGTCCAAGTTCTGTCCTCTATATCCCTCTCTTTCACTGGGTCTCCACCCTTCAGCCTCTTTCACACCACCAGTGATGAGGAACCGTTGACAACACTCTACTCCAACACAGGATGGATGGGATGAGTCACTAAACAGGGGGAGAGAACCCTTAGTTTTGTATGAATGGTGCATCACTAGCCATCAGGTCTGGAGGTGGTGCTCTGACGTACTGCTTTAAGGGGGAAGGACTAAGCTGGGGTATAATGAGTAGGCACCATACTGTAACTGTATACAGCGGTAAGAGCAAAAAACAGCGGGCAAATACTTTTAGGTTTTTATATCCAAGCTCCAAGAAACATATTAGCATCATGTTAATAAGTGTTCTTGAGGAATGGCATTTAATTGTACACTTTCCTGGTGGGGTTGAAAGGGCTTGGCATTCTGGCATTAATTAAATCGGTGTTCAAACAATCTGATGTATTCAAGTGCTTAGCTGACGATCATGGCGCCCTTCATTAATTTAACAGGCAGATAACAATACCACCGATTGATTTATACGGCATGCACCCAAAGATCCTGGCATTTCCCTCAGCGGGGGAGGAAACGCTCGTATCCAACACAAGCCTGTTAGTCAATTTCATATCTGATGTTAATCAAGCAGAAAAATGATAACCCTGCTAATCAGTAATTAAGTGGATGATTAAATGAATTACTCCCCGCTCTCCATTTCTCAATAAACATCCTGGTCCTTTGATGTACGTTCCAGCTCGATCCTTCCCATCGCCACCCAGCGAAGTAAGATCTTTCTCACTTCATAGCTTACACACGCTAGCACATACGTACATGCATACTGTGTGAATGAACACATAGTTTGACTCCTTAAGCAGTGCTCATCTGTCCTGGATGTCTTGCAGAAAGAAGCATTAAGTGCCAGACCAGTCAGCTTGAGCTTGGCTGGTGGTCTTGTGTAGATCAAAGTGGGCTATCTTTCCCCTCAGACTGGATATAATTGGGTCAGGTTGAGCGTGCGCTGAGGGCCTCGCCTAGGCTAAACTTGGCTGGATAGGATGGGAGACCTGAATGCAGCTCAGATTAAGAAGTGAATATCCCCTGCACTATTTGTAAGTCTTCCCCACTTCCTGTAAACAATGTTCGGTACAGTAGATGAGGTCTCTTTTCCTTCAACAAAACATATTTATTTGTAACTTTTACTTTTTCTGGCCCAT